TGCATTTCTCCATTGTAATGAGGTTTGGCAGTGGGAGCCACTAGAATGTAAGCATGTGATTTACACAAGGCAAGCAGTCATTTTCAGAGCAAATATGCAGGCTGGCTCAGTGCTTTGCCGGTCCACTCTGCCACGGGCTCTCCTCAGGAATAACTGTTGCTTTAGCTCAAGTCCTGGAATTATAGCAATAGGAGTAACGTCATAGCCACCCTCCAGACAGGAAGGGTGACAGCCCAGTACAGAACCCCTCCTGAGTCATAGCCCCCTTGCAACATCTAGAGAGAAGGCCTTTGTTGAAGCCCCTGATAGTTTGCTTTCACCCATCTACACCTGGTCAAAGATGATTGATATGTGTATGTGCATTGGGTTGAAACAAGGTGTACCTTTTCTTAAGGATGGTGATCAAAAAGTTCAAAGATTGAGCTGGGGATGTAACTTAGTTGGTAGATTGTTTGCTTACCATGGACAAAGCCCTGAGTTTGATCCCTAGAACTGTATAAAATGTACATGGTGGTACGTGCCTGTAAGATGAGCATGGAGGATGTGGAGGCAGGAGGATCAGGAGTTCAAGTTGATCTTTGGCTACAAAGCAAGGTGGAGGTGAACCTGGGCTACATGAGACCCTGTCTCAAAAGAAAATTGAAAATCACTTGTAATGGTTAGCATATTCAGTTTGGGTTGTTATAATAGAATGTCAAAGATTGAGTGACATTCATTTCTTATACCTCTGGAGGCTGAAGTCTAAGACCATGATGGTGGCATGATTACATTCTTGGTGGGAGTCTCTTCTGGACTGGTAAATGATCAACTTCTTGTTATAGCCCCAGGGTGGAGAGAAAAGGGGCTCTAGTCTCTGCACCCTTCTATAAGGGGCATTAATTTTATCCATGTGGGCTCTATCATCAGTTCTCATTATGTCCCCAGTGACCTCCCAGGCCCGTGATACTGTCACCCTAGGGAATGGGCTTCAACACAGGGATTTGAGCAAAACAAACATTTAGTCCTTAGCAACGAGAATTTGGAAACTTGGTTCTTTAAAGTATTAGTCTAGCCTGCATGATGCATTGATACATTAGGTGGTTCTCTGGGTTCCCTACTGATCCATGCTAGTTTGAAATACTTCACTTTTAATTTAGATGGTCTTTCTTGAGCAGATTCAGAGTCATTCTATTCCTTGAGGAGGATTAGATGATTCTACATAATAGTATAGGGAGATTAATTAGCAGATTCTCCAGTCTCATACATTGGTATATATAGTAAAAGAAAATATAGTAAGAATAGCAGCATACTCAATACCACCCAATATTAAAATGGAAGGTCAGTGGGAGAGATTGTTTTATAATATTCTAATGATGGTAGACAAAATCATAAGCCAGTATATCATGGCTACTTGAAGAAGAAACATTAGCAGTTGGGCACATGTCCCTTCTACATGGTTTATTTCTGTCTCCTCTATTTATGTAAACCAATATTAGATTCAAGATTAGACTAGGAATATGGAGGATTCATTGCAAATCATGCTAGCTTGTTATCTGACATGAAAGACAATAACTACACCACATTTCACAATCAATATTGGAATTCGAAGGATTGCAATGGCTAGAATCCTAGTCAGCTCTGTCTTTCACTCTAGAAAGTACTTCTGCTTTTAGTGCTTCAGTTTTGGGATGGATGTTCAATCATGATCAATCACATCTCAGTGATTTCTTCCTGAGTTGCAGGGCAGGCAACAGGCATTTGGAATGAATTCAACTTGCAAAGACAGGGGCACCACAATTGGTTCTAAAGAGATCTTGATGTCTTTCACCATCAACAGTAGTGGAATGGCAATATTTCCCTGAAGTGATGAGTGCAGAGTTCAAGGCTCTGAACAAATCACCAGAATCTTCTGCTTGAGCAAAATGTGGGAAACAAGTGGAGTCATCAGGGTAATAAAGAAATGTGATCGGTAAATCCCATCCCTCATCTTTAAAGCTCATTTAGGCATCCTTTTCCTTAACAGCAGTGTGGAAAAGTACAAATTCAAAACCACTCCACATTCCTTTGAACAGCAGTCTGTAAGGAATTAAAATCAATTGCTATGATTTAATAATACTCATATGTCTTGCTGCTTCTTTAAAACTAAATCGAGATCCAGAGACATGTAACTACTTTATACTCTGTAAATAGTGGATTGATAAATCACCATGGTGACTTTAATTTAGAAAGTGCTCATCATTTCCGATACCGTTGGTGCTCCTCCACTACCCCTTATAACATATATTTTCTACCCTACTTCATGGATTTCCAGTGCCCAACACAGAAGCTGTTTTACAGTGCTCAATGATAAAACAGGTCATTATATCTTCTGACTCCTAGGAGCACGTGCTGAGAAACTGTATTGTGATAGCCAATTGTGAAGCAGAGTACCTAACTCTAAGGACCCTAACAACACAGAGTGCTTTCTACTTCCCAGTGCATGCCACCTGCTTGAGTAATGGCTGCTGGTGTCGGTGTCACTACAGTGAGAAGTTGCTCAGCTTTCTCTCTGCCCGCTTTGCCATGAGAATGCAACTAGGTGGGCTGCTGGGGTTTTCTGCCCTCATCTACAGAAGTCATCACTTTTGTAGGAAACTATTTTGGATTTCTTATCCTGAAAAAATATGGTGAGGTTCACAGTCACAGGTTTCTGAAAATTTTGTTTTATTCTTTGACAATTTCATACCTGTATATACTGAGTTGGAGCATTTTTACACACATGCATTACCTTGCCTCGTCTCCCTTCTATTTTTCTACCATTCTTCTCCTAAATCTCTCTCTTAATTTGATCTGCCTCATTTTTTAACTGATAAATATCCATGAGGGTTAGAGTCTCAAGAGTGCCTCCCCATGTATGGTAAAATGGCAATGAGGTCAGTCTTGGGCAAGTTTTGCGCAGGCAAGCACAGCTGCAGTGAGTTAATTAGTGCATCCTCTCTAGAAGACACTTTCCCATCACTTCACCCAACCTCTGGATCTTATGTTCTTTCCATTTCCCCTTTAGTGATGTTCTCTGAGATCTGGGGAATTGGAGAGGTATGATATAGATGCCCTATTTAGACCTGTGGGCTCCTGAGACAATTACTCCCTACACTTTGAACTCTTGGGACTGTATGAACCACTGCCCACTGTGAAAAGAAGTTTCTTCTGCTAGTGGCTGGGTGCTGCACTAATCCATGGGCATCAAGTATTTAGAAGGCAGTTTGTCAACACATCAATTTAGCAAAACAACAATAGTCGGTTATCCTCTAGGGCCTCTCACCTCCCCTGCCATAGCTTCTTAACCAGGGTTAGAGTACCAAACATGAGTTTCCGCCTGTGGAGTAGGCCTCAAGTTCAATCAGAAAAGGGATGTGGGTACCCTCCATAACAGTTGTGCCACTACTACATTGGTAGGTATATTTTGTCAGGCAGGTTCATGGGTTGCACAGTGGGGCAGGATTTTTCTCCTCCAGAAGCTTGGCTAGCACCTTCCAACACTATGAAAACTTTCCAACAGGAAGAAACTTCTAGCTCAGAGTCATCTTGATTCTTAACACTTGCAACTTAAATGTATAGTGTGTGCAGTAATAGGGTATCATATTCTCATTCTGATGGGCAACCAAGAGCACTGGCAATAGTCCCAGTTATAATTTGAAGAAGTAGAAAGCAGTTTATCATGTGATTATATTGAGAGGTCGTGAAAACACTGGGCATTTGAAATCCAGCTTGTACATGTTCACCAGGGTGTGGTTTAGATGTATTTGCCACTGGAGAAGCTGGAGTCGTTTCCTTACACTTTGTCCCTTCATAAGCAGATTCAGATTCTGTGTTCACTTTTCATGTAGTAACTAGTGAAAAGTAAGTCCTTTTTGCACCACCAAATTCAACTTGAAAATTCCCAGGTATTTGTTCATTTTAGTGAGTTAGCAGTCGAATACAGCAGAGTAACCTCAAAGATTTAAATTCAGTAAACACAAACAAATGGTATCAAATTACTTTATCTGAGATTAACTGTAGGCAGATAACTACTTGGAGAAGCCTGTCTCCACGAGGCTGTTAAACAGGGTAAAACCATGGCTTGATCTCTATAATGCAGTCATTGCTTAGTATTCTCATTTGCGTTTTCCTAACTCAGATATCATTTAGAAAGCCATATAGGGGACAGTCATGCAGCTCCAGGTTAATATTTTATTTGTTATTGTGTTATTGTTATTATTATTTTGATACAGGGTCTCCTAATCAATGGCTTTGAGTGTTGGCATGTTTAATAGATGTTCTACATGCTACCACCTAAATCATCTGTATAGAAACAATTCTGTAAAGGAAAAGAATCAGCTGTATGCTGAAGACAACCAAATACACTGCTTTTAGGGAAGAAAAGAAACCAGTGTTGACAAACATCCTGTACAAAAAAGCACTCAAATGGGATGGGTGTTGTGTCTCGGGGCCTCTTGGGTGCTCTTGTATCAGTCATTCACTCTATTTCCACTTTTCAAGATCTCCTATTAAGATTCAAATGCTATACTGTAAAATCACAACAATTGATGTGCTAATTCTGCATTTTATGACCTTGGCAAAGCCACTGGATGTCACTGAGCACCAGTTTTTCCATGGATAAAATGGTTAAAAATCTTTTTCAGTGCTGGGGATTCAACCAGGGTCTCACAAAATCTACCATACTCTACCACTGACTCCCAGCAGATAAAAATGGTATTTGTGATACCTATTCAAGGGGCCACAGGGAGAATTAAGTGAAACAATGCATGCACACTGTCCATGGGATTCTGGGAAAATCGTCAGCCCCTTGGATTTAAGCGTCGGCAGTTTCTGCTTTACACAAAGAACAGACGGGGGATGAAAGGAGTAAAGGAGTGAGGAACAGCCAAGTTCACAAGTAAGATAAATGTATTTTGAACCCAAAATAGAACAGAAATAGAAAGTAATAAAAAGAGCTGCAACTCTGAGCCTGCTGGACTCTGCAGCTGAAGTAAGCAGGGGACACCAAGAAAAAGCTTCTGGCATTAATAAATCCACAAGAGATGCCTAGGAGAGAGGCGGCTGGAGGCTGCCACTGCACCAAGGAAGGGCCAGTGTGGCGGGGGAACAGCATCCATCAGCTACTTTCCTTTTCAGCTGCAAGCTGCAGCCTTATTCCACATGAGTCCATCTTGTGTCTCCAGTGCTGTCCTGAGGATAGAGAAAAAGAACTCACTGACTTCCCTACTATATGCTAAAAATCACCGGTTAATTCTCTGATTCCCAAAGGGACAAGGGCTTTGCCTCACCATCAAGCAAATAGTTTTGCCTTGGACACTGGCTGTCCCTGAGATGACTCAGTCCTGACACTATACCTGGACATGGTGTCAGATGCCACAGGTTTGGGCCCCCTGAGAAGCCAGTCAATGCCCTCAGGTCATTTCACCCGTGTGCTTTTGACCAAGAATTCTTAGTTGGCATTCCAATTCCTTCTTTGAGTTTTTCACATCTTTAAGTGACTCACAGAACCCAGGTTCTTATAAAGGGTGGAGACAAAGATATAACCAGGTGAGGGATGTGGGAAAGGATGAGAGGCATCTAGCCTCTGTCTGGGAACCTCATACCCCAGGATCTCATCACATCTATCTCCCTCAAAGCTTTTTGGACCCTGTTTTTTATTTTTTTGGTGACTCCACTGCACAGCTACAGTTGTTAATAAACTAGGTGAGGAAACCTATCAGAGCATGTGTGTTCAAAATTTTGTTTTTTCTGTGCAACTTTCCACTCAAAAAGGCATGGGGTAGGATCCATCTGAAATCTGGGATGACCCACTACCAGCCAACAAGGACAGGTCAGGCTTGCAAGCCAGAGACAGAAACAAACAAACAAGAACAGGAAAATATAAAGACATCTATCATAATATCACAGCTGTGCTCATGATTTTAGCTTTTATTTCCTCCTCTGCATCACTAGACTTTTTACTGAATGTATACTTTCCATTCCCCAGGGGGAAAAATACTGAGTGATTTATATTCTCATATTCCCATGGAACAAGAGCCTCCATGTGACATTATGAGCATTCGGGGCCCAGCTGCTGAATGTAGGTGAATGGGAGAAGGAGCTGGGTGAGGAAAAGAGGGGAATGAAGGGAGAGAAACAGGAAAAATCAACACAAAAGTTAAGATACCGACTTTTTATAGCAAACTCATTCCTGAAGGAATTTACACAAGAGAATAACAATGACTCTCATATAAATGTTTTGACACTTAAAGACAAAAATGAATGAAATCTATTAGCATAAAGTATTGAGGCACACAGAGTCAGGAGAGAAGAAATAGTGATGAATAAAGAAAGTGATTAACTATGTTAGTAGATTTAATTAAGAATCAACTATTTTGGGGTATCTGTTAACATTGTGTTTTAAAAAAAAACAACAAGGTGGGGGAGAAGGGAAGTTTGGTTCATAACTATCAGGCGGCTGGGAATGGAGCTCAGTTGGTAGAGTGCTCCCCCAGTGTGGGTGAGACCTTGTTGGGGATGGAGCTCAGTTGG